TTGGGAAGATTCTTATAAAAAATTTGTAAATATTTGAATTGCTGTGAAATTGTTATTATTTATGAAAATTATTAAATGTTTGCGTACAATTTTATTAAAATTGTTTTTAAATAATTGAATTCATTTGGGTAATTTTATTAAAATAGTAGATATTGAGAATCATTGAAATAGGGAAAAATTTTGAAAATAATTGAAATTTTGACAAGAATTTTATTAAAATTTTTTTCAATAATTGAATTTTAAAGAATTTTTTTATTTATAAAGATAAAATTCGATAAAAATTGTATTCAAAATAATTAAAATTTTGCGATGAGTGGTATTATTTATAAAAATAATTGATTCTCTGTAAAAAATGTTATTATTTATGAAAATAATTGAATTACTGCGAAGAAATTTATATAAAAACTCTGTAAATAATTGAATTCCTGTAAAATTTGTATTATATTTATTTATAAAAATAATTAATTTCTTATGAAGAATTTTATTCAAATTTTTTTAAATAATTGAATTTCTTAGAATTTTTAAAAACTTTTTGAAAATAATTAAATTTTATCGAGAAATTTCATTAAAAAAATAAAAATAATTGAAATTTGACAAAGAATTAAAAAAAATGTTTTTTAAATAATTCAATTCCTTTGAAAATGTTTATTTTTTAAAAGAATTGGATTTTTGGGAAGAATTTTATTAAAATTTTTGCAAATAATTGAATTTTGAAGAATTTTTTTATTTATAAAGATAATAATTGGGATTTTGTCGAGATTTTTTTTGTAAATTTTGAACATAATTGAATTTTGTGATACAAATTTTATTACTTTTGAAAATAATTGAATTTCTGCAATCATTTGTAACTTTTTCAAAAATCAATTTTTTTAGTATTTTTAACTAAATTTTTTCCATAAATCCATTATTTTTAATAATTAATTAAATATATATTGACAGATTTAACTAATTTTAGAAGATTTTAAATTATTAAAATCATTCAACATTAAAATTTTCTAAAATTTCATATTGAAACCATTGAAGTTCATTTATTTATGAAAATTGTAAACACAACTCTTTTAAAATTGAATTAATTTTGAAATATTTAAGTAAAATCATTCATTAAATGATTTATTTATTTTATGATAGTTGTTCAAGATTTAAATTATTTACACGGAGAGACCGAGATTACTAATTTTTGTATAAAATCACACTAGAATTTACTATTTTCACATTGCAACCACCGGAAATAAGGGGACTTTTTGTATTTTTTACTATTTTCTACACTAAGTCACTAATCCCGACAAATGTTCACCAAATTAGCAAAGTTTCTTACTATTTCGTCCAATAGTTCCAAATAACTGTAGTAAACTCAGAAGCATTGTGTACGTAAAATTACTACAGTCGTTTGTAAATGCAGAAAGAAAGAGTGAAAGAAAAAATACGGATTTTTGTCGCCGGTTTCCCGTCAATTCTTGACTAATGGAGACAAACTGGAAGGATTTTTACATACACAGACACACACACACTTATATATTTGTTGGATAAATATTTGAAGACACACACATGTTTATTTCACTTATATGTATAGACGCGGTTAATTAATACACTAATACACAACTGCACGCACGACAACGAATTTCACTGAAAGTATACATCTTTGTTTCCTTATATATTGAATGATGAAAATTTACAGCACTTACGAGAAAGCAATTTACTTTTAACAACTTACTATAAGACATAGTTCTTGGGACAGGAATAAATGCAAAGTTTATTAATTTATAATGGTCAATTTCTGAGATACCGAACGACCTACGTTTCACTTTATATTTAATTATTGTAGATAATATCCAAATTTATTTTACATACGCGAAACATAGTCACTGTCAATGATCGGATGGCGTCGGCTCATTTACGGAGATTGACGAAGTTAGCAACCAATAGAAATGCAGGCGCCATATGACTGCACTCGCTAGCCACACTTGCTCACCAAAAATTACTACAGTGGATCGTAGGTTTTAGTGGAAAATGTTTTCATTTGTCAGATTTTGTCTAATTAAATTAGAGAAAACTATAATCAATTTTTGCTACATTTACAACTCTTACACAAAATATTAAAACTTGCTATTTCAATGTAGCAAATTTATCTATTTCTTTTGTAAATTTATCTAATTCTGTAGCACATTATGCTAAAAGTCCCCTTATTTCCGGTCATTGCAACCATTTTTAGTAATTTTTACGAATGTGGGTCTCTCCGTGTAAATTTAATTTCTGGTTATTTTATACCTGAAATTGTAAAAGAATATTTTCGTCTGACTAATCATAAGGTTTACTACTTAAAGTATCACAAGTTGTAAAAAACTGTCTGTAAATTACTTTCACTATACTGACATTAAAATTAAAAAAAAAAAAAAAAATTTATTGAGTGAAACTAAATCTCACTTCCGCAACTGTCTACAACTAGAATTACACGATTTCAAAACATTCTCGTCTGACCAAAACTCACGTCTACTACTGACATTGGAATTACAATCAGGTATCTCATTGCCTGAATGAAATTGCCTTTTTGCTAAATAAGATCTTACTTACGATACTTAACTGTTGATTTCGTCGACGAAAATAGTCTTTTACTGGACTCAAGTTAAAATTAGGAGAAAGTTAAATTTTTTTCGCTAAAAAAATTACCTTTTTTACGCTAAAACTGTAATTATATGAATTGAATTCGTTTTCAGCTTAAATAGAGATTTTTTCACTATTACTTAGGTTGTTGAAAAATTTTATCTAGTCTGTCTGGACGATACCTGCTTTTACCACTAATTTAAAGTCAATTTTGACTCTTCTGCCTGATTTTAACAATTTTTCCTATAAATCATTTACATTTTTGTATTTTTTTTTATAAAACGTTATATTAATTCCGACTGACTTTACAACAAACAATTTTTTTTCCATATTAGAATTTTAAAAACTTAAGATCTTTGTCTGACTAAAAACAGCTTTTACCACTTGTACTTGAAATATATTTTTCTAAACGCCTAACCCTGACTGAAACTTCTACTTACTATTAATTTTAAAATTACGAAACTTACAATATTTGATTTTATTGAGAAAGAAATATTTATGAACTGTGTAAATTTAAACTATCTAATTTCAATTCTGTGAATTTACATTAGTAGTAGTAAAACATAGTTTCAGTCAGACATAAATATCAAAATTCTAAACTTAGAAAAACTCTAAAATTCTAAAATAAAATAATGTTGAAGAAAAATTCTAAAATTGTAAAAAGAGATAAAATTCGAAAAATTCGAAAATAGGAAAAAGAGATAAAAATCGAAAATTTCGAAAATAGAAAAAGTTGTAAAAAAGCAAGAGAAAATTTATGTCAAACTAAAGAGTTGAATTACTTCATTTCAATAAATTTAATCCTGGCAATAAAAATCTTTATCGCATTGTCCTTCCAAAAACTACTAATTAAAAAAAAGCGAAAAGATAATAAAAAATAAATAAAATAAACCCACAGTATTAGAGTATAATATATTTTCTTGACGCTCACTTAATTAATTATATACTATAATTATAAAAGCAGCTAATAAATAAATTGCCGTTTTTGTATAGTAAATGTAATAAAATTTAATTTACCTTCGTTCAAATGCAAGTGTTAATTTAAGCTGACTTGATTCTCCCCGACTTTTACTGTTTCCTTTAGTAACATTCTCAATTTATTGATCTGGTGATAATTATTTTCCGCACGCTTTGAACATGACGCTATTCAAATAAACTCTATAATTTAAATCACCTTTGAAAATGTACAGCTATAAATTTTATTAACAATCACCAGACGAAAAAAAAAGTTTTAAATAATTTTTTAAACTTTTGGAATTTGTAAAGAAATTTAAAAAGTATTTATTTCAGTAGTAATAGCGGTGAATAGTCAGACAAATGTCAAAGGAATGATAATTATATTAGAAATATTATAATTTTAATAAATAACAATAAATTAATAGTTAATAATAATTATAATAAAAAATGTATTTTAATAATTCCGCGACTGACTTTAAAAACCATAAACTTTTTTTTAAAATTAGAAAACTTAAGATCTTTGTCTAACTAAAACTAGCTTTTACCACTTGTACTTGAATTATATTTCTTTAAACATCTAAACCTGAGTAAAATTTCTCCTTACATTATTATTTTACAAAAATATATATTTTTCATTAGAAATTGAAAATATTTCTTTCAGTAGTGAAAGCGTTCTCTAGTCAGACAAATATAAAAAAAGAAAATATTCAGAAAATATTTTTATAAAATAAAATATATACACCGAAAAATTGTAAAATACTGTTTTTAAGAACAGAATAATTACAATTTTCTGAATTTTAGGATCAGTAGTAAAAGTCATTGTTAATTATAGTTAAAAGTTTGGGAGTATTTTGATTTTTTATTGCTAGTGAAAAAACTTGAATTATTTTAATTTTTCTGCTCAGTGTCAAAAATTGAAAAAAAAATAAAAGAAAATGGAAGAATGACAAATTAACAAATTAATTAATTGACAAATTAATCTTTCGTTAAAGGTTAAAATTTTTCTTTCTTTATAAAATTATTACAGTAAAGTTTACTCTAAAATTATTACAGTAAACTTTACTCTAAAATTATTAAAGTAAAATTTTACTGTAAAATTAATAAGTAGTAAATTTTTTTGGTAAAAAATATTTTTTTATTACAGTAAATATTTATTTAAATTGAGGTGAAATTTTACTATAAACAATTTTACAGTTAACTTTATTTAAATTATAATAAAAATTTTCCTGTAAACAATTTTACAGTAAACATTTATTCAAATTGTGGTAGAATTTACTGCAAAAATTATTACCTACAGTAAATATTTATTTAACATGTGCGGTCAAATTTAGTGTAAAAATTATAACAGTTAATATTTGTTTAAATCAAAGAGGAAAATTATCAAAAGAAATTATAAATTAATCATTTGAATAATTATATTCAAATAATTTTAAAAAAAAACTAACCTCGTTTGTATTCCATCGATGCCTCTGTGTCGGAAAATGCTCAGCTCGCGGTAAAGTCTCCAAATTTTCCGGAAGCTTAATTGGATCCCCATCTGAAAATTTAACCAACGAAGAAAATTAATTACAAATTAATTTTTTTTCTCACTAATTAATAATAAAAACTAAATTAATTACTGAAAAAATTTGGAATTAATGCAAAAAATATTAATTAAAAGCTTTGCACTCGATAATTAGTTTTAAAAAAGTTGCAAAAAGTAGTTTTTAAACTGAAAAAAGTAGTTATGGAAAATATTAAATTTGACGTTTAAAAAAAAACTCATTTTAGACGATTCACAAAAATCAGAAAAATGTAATTCTGTATTTTATTTCTCTAACTTTTTCCTAATTTTCATAAAAAATATTTAGTTTTTTCTCCTTTCCTGATAACTTATTTATCTTTTCCTAGGAATAAAGAAATTTTTTGAATGATTTCAATGTGAAACGTTTTTTTTTTAATTTAACTAAATTTCTATAAAAATTACAACTGTAATTCTTCCAAAATTCAATCATTTTTTGTCAAAATTGTTGAATAAAATTATTCAAAACTTTAATTATTGTTTACAAAAATAATAAAATAACAATTTTTTGAAATAAAAATTAAAAAAATTATTAGTTTTACAAATTACAACAATAAAAATTTCCAAAGATTTTAATTTAAAAATATTTTGAAAATTAATTATTTATAAAAAAATTCATAAGATAACGCTTCTAATATTTAAATAACGAAAAATTTAACTGGAATTCATTTTGAAACACATTTTTATTAGAAAATTCTACGAAAATTCAATTATTTTCATAAAAAAATTTGTATTTCTTAACTTTGAAATTCTTCAAAAATACAACTAAATTTTAAAAAAATTTAAAAAATAAAATTCTTTACTATTTAAAATTTAATTCAATATTAAATTTGACAAAAAAATTATTTTTTTATGCAATAAATATTCAAATATTATTTACTTTAACAACAAATAAAATTTTTAGAGACAGGTAAGTTAAATATCTTTTGAAATTTAATTTTAAAAATTCACATTATAACGCTTCTATAATATTAAATTATTATCTACGATTTTATCTAAAATTCATTTTTAAATCAAGTTTTGTTAAAAAATTTTTTGAAAATTCAATTATTTAAAAACAAAAATAATAACTGATTTAGTAATAAATTACTTTTAAAAATTGAATTCTCGTAAAGAATTTTATCAACAAATTTAAAAAAATAGTTGAATTCATTAAAAAAATTTAAAATACAATTGTTAAGAATAATTGCATATTTCCAGGAATTCATTAAAAATTTTATTAAAAATAATTGAAATCCTGCGAAGAATTTCATCGTTTATGACAATAATTGAATTCTTGCAACGAATTCTATTAAAATTTTTCAGAATATTTGAATTCCTGTAAATAACTGTGATTATTTATGAAAATAATTGAATGCTTGGACAGAAATTTATTAAAAAATTTTTTTAAATAATTGAATTTTTTGGGCAATTTGATTAAAATAGTACCTGGACATTAAAAATAATTGAATTTTAGGGAAGAATTTTATTACCCTTAAAAATAATTGATTGTCTGTAAAAATTTTATTATTTATGAAAATAATTGAATCTCTGTAAAAATTTTAATATTTATGAAAATAATTGAATTCCTGTAAAAATTTTATTATTTATGAAAATAATTGAATCTCTGTAAAAATTTTAATATTTATGAAAATAATTGAATTCCTGTAAAAATTTTATTATTTATAAAAATAATTGAATTATCGCGAAGAAATTTATAAAAAAAATTTGTAAATAATTGATATTAAAATAATAAATATTAAAAATCATTGAATTGAGGAAAATGTATGAAAATAATTCACATTTTGACAAGAATTTTGTTAAAATTTTTGAAAATAATTGAATTCTTGAGAATAATTTTTTTATTTCAATTATTAGCGAATTTAAAGTAAATTCTAAATAAAAAAAATAAAAAAGTAGTTTTTAGTGTCATTATAATCTAACAAAAGTATCCAAAAAGTATCAAATCGTAAAAAAAGTAATTAATAATATTAGGAAATAATTTAATTAATGATATAAAAAATAGTGTAATTAATAAAAAATAGTTTTAAAAATTCATCCCTAGAGAAAATCTTTTTCAACACTGACATAAAAGCATTGACGCTCATAAGTCTTACTAAATTAAAATCCCTTTTGAATATTCCGAACTGTCTTCACAAAAACATTTTCTTCTTCTTTCTTTTTTCTTCTTTACTTCGCAAATTGAACAAAAGTTTCGCTAATGACTTTGCGGCATGATTATGTATATAGAGAAATGTGGATATAAAGAAAAGGGTGATTTATAAGATTAATAAGAGCCACGTGAGCGTGGAATGATGAATAGGAATATAAAACGGAACGTAGTTTCGAATACCGGCGCAGTAAACTTTAACAAACTATCGAAATGGACTGCTAAGATCGCGTTATGTGACCCTGTTACATACAAAGTACTTGCCTGGCAATTGGATAAATTTTAACAATCGGTCTACCAATACAATCTGGGTCAGCCTTGTTTTCTCGTGCATATACACACAATATACACACATTTAAGGGAATCTAAACGGATGTGAGCAAAAAGTATACGCGGATAGGTTAAATTGCGCGCAAATATAATATTACTTCTCTCGATTGTGTCTTTTGTATAACTGGCTAAAATCTTCCTGCTTGCGCACTTTAAAATATACGAAAATAAGATTCACCCCAAAAAATGCCTCATTCCAACAATCGTTTCGCGGAAAACATTTTCTTTCTCAACTGCTACTTTAAAAAATGAAGCGCGTGAATCGCTACATCGTGTGCCAATCGATATGTTCTCTTCCTTTTCTCCCTCTCTCTCTCTCTCTCTCTTTTTTTTTTTTTTTGAAAAAAGGAAATAATTTTATTCAAAAAAAGAGATAAAAATTTTTTCCTCTTCAAATTTTATTAAATTTTTGTGGAAAAAAAATTTTTACATCGTATTTTAACATTTCTTTTTGAGTTTATTTAATAAAGTTTGCTAAAATTAAATTTGTTTTCATTACTTTATTATACAGAATTATTTTATTTAAATCACAAGAAAATAGTTAAAAATGCTATAAATTATGAAACTAAAATTTATCTATATAACATAAATTTACTTTATTATTTATAAATTATGGTGACTATTACTTATTTTATTTATTTATTTAAAAAATTAAAAATAATTTTCAACTCTATTTCATGTATTTGTTTTCAAATTTTTTCCACAACTTAGATAAAAACCCGATTGAAACAATATTTTTCAAGTTTTTTTTTTATTTTCTTGGAAAAAAGAAATAAGTTTTTAATGCAAAATAAAAAATAAAAATTTGTTCTCCTCACTTTTTTCCAAATTTTTTAAAATTTTGGTAGAAGAAAATTTTCTACGTAGTGCTTTAGAAATTCTTTTTGAGTTTATTTAATAAAAAAAAAATATTAAAAAATAGTTTTCAACTTTATTCGTAATTTATTTGTCTCGAATTATTTTATGTCAATAACAAGAAAATATTAAGAAATATAATAAAAATAAATAAAATAAATTTATGTTTATTTAATAAAATGAATTCTGTAATTAAAATGTATAACAGAAGTAGATCATTATTATTTATTTTATTTATTTTATTTATTTAAACAGTTAAAAATAATTTTCAACTTTATTTGACTTTAGTAAAATCTACACGTTTATAAACAAAAAATAATTTTGTTTCCTTTTTTTCTAGGAAAAAGAAATAATTTTATGCAAAAGAAGAAATAAAAATGTTTTATCTTCACTTTTTTCCAAATTTAGATAAATTTTGATAAAAAAAAAATTTACATTGTATTTTAAAAATTCCTTTTAAGATAAATTGAAAAGAAAACTATTAAAAAATTGTTTTAACTCTACTCAATATTTGTCTCTAATCATTTTATTTAAATAACAAGAAAATAATTAAAAATGTTACGAATCAAGTAATTAAAATTTAAAAAACGTAAGTAGTTAAATTGACTTTATTATAGTTTATTTTATTTATTTATTTAAATAGTTGAAAATAATTTCCAACTTTAATTTTCGTATATTTGTTTACAATTTTTTTTCTATTTAAGTAAAATTCTCAACGTTTATAAGCAACGATTGAAAAATTATTTTTCAAAGTAATATTTTCAAATATTTTCACTTAGAAAATTTGTAAAAAAAAAAAAATTCCGATCAACTATTTTGAAGAGAAACATTTATTGCTTTCCTTGTAGAAATTTTTTTTTTCCTTTTATCGATAATTTAAATTTTATAACCTTCACCGTCGTTATTTTTTTCTGATGTTATTTTATCAAAATAAAAAAATAATTAAAAATGTTATAAATCATGTAATAAAAAATTTTAATAGACAAATTTATATTATTATTTATTTCTTTATTAAAACATTCAAAAGAATTTATTTATATTTATTTATTATTTCAAATTTATAATTTAGTACTTGAACAGTTAAAAATATTTTTGTTTTCTTTTTTTCCGTGGAAAAAGAAAATAATTTTATGCAAAAGTAGAGTTAAAAAATTTCTTCTCCTCTCTTTTTCAAATTTAATTAAATTTTGGTAGGGTAAAAAAATTTCCACATAGTATTTTAGAAATTCCTTTTAAGAAATAATTTACTTAATAAAAAACTACAAAAAACAGTTTTTAGCTTTATTTAACTTTCGTCTCGAATTATTTTATTTGAATATTTTTCTAAGTAAATTTTTAAATATTTTTCGCTTACAAATTTTAAAGAAAATTTTTCGGAACTATTTTAAACAGAAAAATTTTACTGTTTTCTGTGTAAAAAATATTTTGATAATTTTACTTGTATACGACATAATAAAAAATAAAATAAAATTCAATGAATAGAAAAATAAATTATAAACGTTGTAAACTTTACTGACCTTTTTTTCTGTACTTATTTTATTTAAATGAAAAAATTTTTTAAAAATGTTATAATTAAAAAACATTTTCCAATTTCATTAATTGTGTTAATTTTCAATTTACTTCGTCGATTATTTATTTTATT